AATAAAAGTTACGAATTTTTTAAGCGACCAAGAAATTTAAATTAGTTTTCAATCACTTTTTGTGAACTTCGCTAGCTTTCTATATACAAGCCTCTTGAAACTCATCCGATTATCCATATTGCATCATTATAGAATTTCTACATCCGAATTGCATCAATCATCGGCAACTACGAGTGTTTGTGTGCATGAAGTTGCGTAAATCAAATGCGATTGCAATTCACGTCGACTTTGACCAGATGTGATGATACAACGAATATTATCCACTTGTAGTATTGCTAAAAGCATTTTGCAACATCATTTAAGGACTTTGTATATCATTGAACGTTTAATCATTAGATGAAGCCATCAGATAATTTGAATTTTTAAGTAAAAAACAATGACACATTGCTCGGTTATAAAGTTTGGTGTTCTAAATAATATAAGAATTTTTAGGAATATTACGTTGAGTAATTTAAAAAGAATGAAATTAGTTGTGTAGATTATGTTCTATTACACAACAAGTGATCAAAATATTGCTAATATTTTGAAGTCAATAAGCTGGTTTCTCTTTAATATTAAGTGTACATTTTGTGAACAACATCTGCTTCAACCATTCAATCAAACGCGATTAAAGCGTTCCCCGCATATCGTGCCCTGATGCGATTTGCTTTCTCAGAGGGCGAGCTCAGTAGTAAATAAGCTGTTGCTAACATACAATGATCGGAGAAACCGTTTCGTTCACAGTCTTGCGGTCTGGATCATTTCTACTGTAACGTGTCGGAATCGGATTCTGCTGCGCGCGGGCGGGTCGGCGGGAGTGGGAGTTTGGAAGAAGGTGGGAGCTGCGACTGATTGGGATGGTGACGTGTAGCGGTGGCGCGGGGCGGTGGGAAAGGCGGAAGGCTTGTGGTGGTGGTGTTGGTGTAGATGGTGAAGGAGGTGGAGGAAGAAATGTTTGCGGTGGCGCTGACGGTGGGGGTGGCAGTGACAGTGGCGATGGCGGTGGCAGTGGCAGTGGCTGTAGCGGAGAAGGTGGTGAAGGTAAGGGTGGGGTGGTGACGGCGGTGGTGGTTGGGATGGTGACGATGGTGGTGGTTGGGATGGTGACGGTGGT